CACTCGCCCCGCGCTCAGTTCTGCTGTGCTGATCTCCGCTGCTTCGTCACTGTCGAATTGTCAATCCAGAGCACTGATCAAATGAGATTTTCTTTGTATGTTTATATGTATATATATGTATAATTAATAAAACATTTTGCAGATAGCACTACTCTTCATGGTCCATTACGACTATACAAAGGAAAAGGTTATGGAAAGATTTTCTGGTCATTGGTAATGTGCTTTGCTTTAGTATTTTTATCAGTTCAAATAAATATATTGATAGCATATTTTATGTCACATCCAACTGCAACATCAGTAACTTTCGTCCCTGCTGAAGCACTTACTTTACCTGCTGTAACAGTCTGTAACTACAATCCAATTACCAAAAGCTATGTTCAATGTAAGAACCGTTCTTTTTTCATTCCATCCATCATTATTTTCGCAAAGTTGTTAAAATCAAATATTGGTTTAATATTTTAAATGATTACTGAAATACTTAAGGGTTTGCGCATATTAAACAACAATCAAGTCATTCAGTTATTTATTTATCATTAGAAGGAATTCAGGCAAAAGTTCTGAGCACTCTATCATGAAACATGTATTTGAACGCGATTTTCAGATCTGAATGAATCAAGCAGTGGTGCAGGATACTTTACTTACGATTTATTGCGTTATATGATAATGGCATATAGTGAGGTTGAAGATTTATATTTACATGCAAACTATGAAACAATTGAAAAAGGCCGACGAGCTTATAATTATTTTCAAAGTATTTTCACAGAATATCCATTTAATATCGAGAATTTCTTTGCTCGAGCTGGGTACTAATATTTTCATCAGCTTAAAAAAGTATAATAGAATTCTTATTTTGCATCGTGTACAACAAAGTAATTAAGTGCAAAAATACTTTTATTAGTTAATGTACCATTTATTTGAAAATATTTTTGATTTAAACAATATATTCGTTAATTTTGAATAAATCATTGACCAGATTTTCAATAATTTTTAATCTATAATTAATTTAAAAACCAAAAAAATAAATTTTTCTAATGATTTTTTTTCGATTCATTGTGATTATTCAATGAATAGTTTTAACAAACTACTAAAATTTTCAAACTTGTTTAACATCAGAGTGCTTTTTGAATTGCTGATGCAATGATTTAAAAGAGTAAAAATACTAATAGTGAAAAAAATTTTGTAGTTACCATTTACTATTATCAGAAAAAAATGCTAACAATGATAGTTAGTGGTGAAAAAATAAGAAATTTGTGAGAAGTAAAAGTTATATTAGAAAAAAAGCAAAGCAATAAAATTGCCCAAATCATAATAAATATTGTGCCCCAAAATTTTTTGATTCTTTAAAAATCGAAGAACAAATGAATAAATGACTATACAAAATGATTTATTTTTGATTTTCTTTTTTTTTTTTTGCAAATTTAGTAGGACTTAAATGCTGTAAAATTTTTAAAATAATTACATAATACTGAGAAGAGTCTATTTTAAGTTGTTGCAATGCGTGGAAAGTAAAAATTTCATTAAAAATACTGTAGATTTGCTTGCCACGAAATGCTAAAAGTGTGCTCCGTTGGCGGAACTAATTTAGATTGTTGTGCCATCTCACGACAAGTACTTACTGACCTCGGTTCTTGTTTTGTTTTCTCGGTTGATGATATGAAATTGAATCAAACTCAACCGGGCATTTTTAACGGGTTTAATTTAAATACTGCTATACTATAATCTTTTAATTTTGATCAAGAATTTTGGTCTGAAATATGTTATTAGTCGCAAGAATTTTATAAAACTTATTAAGAAATAAAAGCACTATAATTTTAGTATTAAAAAAAAATTACTGCTTTTAGTATTATGCAAGATTTGCGGATTATTTTCCCAAATCTTGCGTAATACTGAAATTAGTAATTATTATACATATTAAAAGTATTTCTCTATTGATACTATCATGGATATCATATGACAAAATTGTAACGAAAATATATGACTGCTTTTTTATTGTTATTGTAAATATTGTTAATAGCTTTGAGCAAATAATTACGCCTAAATATGAATTTATATCTAATGTCATTTGAGATTGCAACTTATTTTGGATGCTGGAGTAAATGATGCTGTGGCTGTGAATTATACAGAAGAAGGTTTGTTTCATGTCAAAAAATAAAAATCTACCAAATTTTTTTCTTGACCCAAATATCTGAATGGTTTATTCAATTATTTCATGTGTTTATATCTAAAATCGTACAATATTGATGTTAGAACATTTTTAGGAAATACTATCCCAATATTTTCGAATAATCTGGAAGATGGTTTTCGATTATATGTTCGAAATGAGGATGAATTAGCATATTCCTACACAGAAGGTCTTTCAGTATCACCGGCGTATCGTGCATATATTGCTTTAAATTTAGAAACTGTATGGATTTCTAAAAAAATTCATTTTTTTTATTTTACCTGAAATACCTTATGAAGTAAAATTTGTCAGCCATAAGTTATTCATAAAAGTCTTAAAACAAATTTAAACGGTTTTTTTAAAGTTCCATTTTCTTACTCCTGACAAATGGGGTAATTGTACGCATTCATGGCCTACAAAATCACCTCGAAGAGCATTTCGTTTGCCATACACATCACAGAATTGTGCTTCGCTTTGCCAACAGGTGTAATGTTTTTTTTGCTAAAATAATTTCAAATTTATTTTTCTTGAAATTAGATTTTACAGTTTCATTCTAGTAATGCTAATAAGTCTTATAATTTATTTCAGGTTTATTATGAACAAAGGATAAATTGCACTCCGTTGTTGTACAGTGTTGGTGATGGTCAGGTCTTTAATTATTTATTCTTTTTATTTTTAACTTGAAAAATTGTGCCACTTTTGAAAACTTTCTTCATTTTGAAAATCTGTTCCAAAAATCTCAAAACTGATAGCATATAACTTTTTCAGCTCATTTAAATACATGTACACCAAGTGAACTACATGCATTCATGCTTAAAGGTTAGTTATAAATTTATTAAATACATCAATAATTGCGCACTTTTCCTAGCAATGCATATCGTTAAGATTCATAATTATTATTCTTGTTAAGTGAGTAAATAGTTATAAATTTAGTTGCTGATCGAACAAATAATATTAATGGACCAGAATGTGCTGATAATATTTGTCCAACATCGTGTGTAACTCATGAATATAAAGCATCAATAACTTATGGTTACGGATTTTCGGAAAGTGCAATGGATTGGCTTACAAATATCAATGATACATGGACTGCAGAACGTATTAAGTATTATTCATGAGTGTCATTTTATTCTATTCATATTATGCTATGATTGCAGCAAGTTTTCGTACGCATAATTCAAATTTTAACGGTAAATGCAACAAATAAATAATATTTAATTTCATATTTTTTAGAGAAAATTTTGCTGTGGTGAATATTTTTTACCGAGAAATGTCGTATATGTTGAACGAACAAATACAGTCAACTTCTCTTGTAGATGTTTTAAGTAATTTTTCAAGTTGTATTAATTAAGAATGCAGTAAAAAAGCATAAACAAAAGTAATAATATGCGCAAATATTAACTATTAAAAAGTATGTAATGAAGTAAATAATTTTATTTTCAGGTAATATCGGAGGAAATATGGGATTATTTTTTGGAGCAAGCGTAATAACAGTAATTGAATTAGTAATATTTTTTTCCAAGTTAGGCTGGATTGCATTTTCTAGTAGACGTCGTGAATATATGTTTCATAAGCGACAAAAAGAACGTGATCGTGAGCAGCGTCTCACAAAAGTTATCAACATTGCTGCTATAACTGTAAAAGTTTAACCTTTCAATTCTTGCAAACTTTTTTTTTTCACTATTTTTTCACCACCCAAGAGACAATTATTAATATATTATAATTTATAATGAATCAAAATGGCTCAAGTTATGCTTGATTATTGCAGCAATCAAGAGGAAGCTGTACTGCATCGACACAGTGTGAACCAAGAAAAATTGTCATGCATCAGAAGAATACAATTTAAATAATGGATAGATATCACAAAGGATAACATTCTTTTCATTCCACTATAAAAAATAAAATAAAAAATATACTTGGAAAAATAAACGCTTTAAATGTGCTTTTCATTCAATATCTGACGTTTAAATTAAAAGTATTACTTGTGCTTACTGTATATCCATTCTTAGTCATGTTTCACAGACAGTAACTTTTCACAAAAATTGCTAAATGAGAAATGTCTGCAAAGATTTATTAATACAAAAGTTTTTCATTTTTTGTTCAAATTTCGATAGTATTTGGAAATTTATAATTATTACTTATACATTCACACAAATGCTTTCAAACCAATTCATTAATGATAAATGATTGCAGTGAAATAGCAGGCGAATTAAATTAAATTGTTTCAATAGTTGATTTGCTTTAAAATTTATAATTTGAAACGGTATTTTTAATCAAAAAAATAATCATAAATGTGGTTACTATTATTATTTCTACAGAAACGATGTGTCTTGATTTTTTAGTGCAGAAATGCTTATGTATGGAAGGCAAGTAATCATCATATTTCAAACATCTAATTTTTAATCCATTACTTCATCAAGTTATATTAGAATTATTAGCATTATACTAGAAGTTGAGCTTTGAATTACCAGTAAATCGAAAACCTTAGACAAAAAAGTCTAAAAATTCAAAATTTGATCAGTCTGTGTTTTATGAGGACACTGTAAATGTAACTGTGCAAATGATCACTTGAGTGCTATCGATTCTTAATCTTAAAAATACTAGCACCCAAATTGTTGCAAATTTGTTTTAATGGGGAGATAATGGCAAATTCTAGGAAGTAAACAAAAAGTAACTTGTTTTCTCTATATACTACAGTTATAAAATAAATTATACCGATTTAAATAATACTTGTTGCATAATAGTGAATAAGTAATTGCTGTTTGCTCACTGTGATAGAATTACAGTGAAAATATGCAAGTCAATACTATAAGTATTATTTGTTGTTTCTGATGAGCACTAAAGTTGTGCTACTACGATAAAAATATTATAACGCTAAATGAATAACTATAACATTTTTTCTGTCTCATCACTTACAGGATCAGTTTCATTTCAATTTGTAAATGATATTTTGAAATAAACAAGAAAGTCCAAGTGAAAATAAGAATTGTACAAAGCAAGTGAAATGTCGCTTAAATAATACAATAGCCAAGGCACAGGAAAAAAATCTATGGTAAATATAAATACATATTACAGTGTTTGCGAAAACTGTTTACTTAAGAAAACTGTACAAGACTGACAACAAACTAATAATGATCTGTCTTGAAAAGTAAAGTTATATATGTAAGTTCAAAAAAGTTGTCAATAAATGGGGCAACAGAATACGTGAATGGCAGTAATAATTCACATTAAATAGAAACCTTCTAAAGCAAACAAATATTTGCCACATTTGAATTACTACTGTCAGCACTCGTGCTTCCAATTCATTTTCAATTTTTGCCTTTTCAATCATGAGCTACTTCAATATATCATTGTTTATCACTATATCTTTCAGTTTCACATTATAATCTTATGCAATTGTACTTTATCTTAATTATATGTTACACTTATAAGGAAAAGAAGTAAAATATTGATAAGATTTGCATTATAAATTACTCCTGCAAAATAATAAATTAATTAATCAAGTAATTAGTAAACATATTATTTATTTATCAAATTGTTCATTTGTCAAACATTTGTTTTGTGATGGCATATACTTTTTGAGCAATCCTAAATAATTTTATTTTTGTATGTATAAGTTATACATAGGCAGAACTTTTTTTTTTTTGAAATTTATTCACTGATCAAAAATCATTAACAAAATATTATTTTTGATTAGTTTTTATATTAATTTTTTAATGTTTAGGTTTTATAAGCAATTATTATAATTGTAACTGTTAATACCTGAGTTCGATACCATGTTACTGTTCTCTACTTGCACTGCAATTTTTAAACATTTTAAACTTTCTGAAATCTCAGTACTAAATTTGTTTTCCATTATTTACAAACATTTGTCAGTAAGTTTCAGCAGTGATGGAACTATCACAAGTAGAGCGATTAATCAGCTGGTTCAAGAAAATTGCTTCTGGTAGAAGCTTTGTTGAACATGGCATCAAAAGAGAAGTTTTGCAAATGATGGGTATTTTTCTTCCTTATTCAGAAATTCATGTTTCTTCGTTACAATACAAAAAAAGTATAAAATATTATTAGCTCCGAAATTTTATCTGAAACCTTTAATATTTATTTATTATTTTATTATTCTCAGGTGCAACAAAGTTACATGGATGTTATCGTTTATATGCTGGCAAAACTTATGCTCGTTTATTTTGGTTACTTGTAGCAATTTCAATTGGAATTTTTTTTTTCATTGTCTTAGTTGAGCTAACAGGTCAATTCAAAGCATCCGGCATCAGCACGCAGGTAAATTAATACCTTTTTACAATTTGGAAAAAAATTTACAGTTATTTTCATTTAAAATAAATTTGTATTTCACTTCAAGTTGAGCAAATATATATGTATTTATTCTGAAAATATAGCGAGTAATGCAATAAACATTAAATTAGTCATTTAGATTACTAAAAATTTGTAGATTATGATCAGTTATGTATATAATTTTCTTGCATGGAAGCAATCATTAAACATTAAACTTTATAAAATTCACAGAAACTTATTACTTCTTTTTTTTTAAATTAAACGAATATAAATCTGTAAATTTATGACAATATAAAAGCTTAGGTAGAAATTGTGTATGATTATGCGGATGGTCCATCAATAACAATATGCAGTCATAATCCTGTGCGACGCAACTACGTTGAAGGTTTGAAATGTATTAAAATATATTTTTTAATTTGTTGTATATTTTAAGGCTAATACTCAAGCACTAAATTGTCTCCTACCCTTATTTAAATTTATTAATTTGCTACTTTTTTAAGATAATAAAAATTCATATACTCTTTTGTGCAATTAATTTCTTTATACATTGAACTGCCTTTTTTTCAGAATTAAAAAGAACAACATCTTTTTCCGATGACTTATCAGTTTATTTATTATATATTTTTTTACGCCCAGAAAGTTTGATAAAAATGAATTTGACAACTGATCTTTTCGCAGGAGAAAAACTTCTTCGAGATTATATGCTGAACTATTCGAATTTTACTATTGCTTCATTCGTTAGTGAAGCTAGGTCATATTTGGAAAGTTCAATTTTTAATTTGTTATCATATATCTAGTTAATGTGAGTTTGCAGCTTTTCTAAAGTTTTCTAAAGTTAATATTGTTTATTTCATTGAAAAAACTTAATGTAGTAAAGATCAAAATGGTGAACAACATTCAAATTTTATCCTTTTTTCAGTGGTGATTGTAAATCACAGACTGTTAAAACTTAGTCACGACATTGTGAAAAATATGATTATTTGATATGATTTAAAGTAATGACTAAAATTTGATTTTTAGTTTCAAATGTGAAGAAGCTTTTGTGCAGTGCGCTTTTGAAGGCATAATGTTCGATTGTTGTAATGAAAGATATTCAACAGAAGTATTTACCGATCTCGGACAGTGCCTTCAATTCGACTGGAAGCAGCTCAGCGCTGATTTCAGTCTTGGTTATCATTTTGGATCTGTTCATGGGTAAGGATGATTGACTTTTATAATCACTCTTTGCTCTGATTTTTATATTTACCAAATTTTTTCACGTTTTTTTGCAAATATGTTTCATGTTGGCTCTTTAAATCTATGTATTCCAATAAATTTTTGAAAACTTGAGAAGGCCATAACTAATGAGTTATGTTATATATATGATTTACTAAATTTTCTACACGTTGCACATCTATAATTTTTTGGCTTAAAAAGGTATTTAAACATTAAAAATTGTATAATAAACCATTCTGGTGATATCTCCTTTAAAATGATTATTTTTTTCCAGGTTTCAAGTGATGCTTGATCATCAGTCGCACAATACATTTCATTTAACGAATTATTCTGGTATTTATTTTATTGCACCAAAACTTAGGATAAACAATTTTGTATTATCTGATGACAGATAACTAAGTTTTCTGCCCGAAGTATTTTCCTTCTTTACATTTGTAACTGTTTTTTCGAAAATATTCATTTTTTCAGATACCGTCATTCGACAAGCATTTTTAGACAACTTTGAACCTGGTTTTCGAATCTATGTCCATGATACAAATGCCATTCCACATACTAATTCTGAAGTTCTTGTCGTCTCACCCAATAACAAACTATCAACAGGATTAAAGCCTGTCAAGGTTAAGTTTTCCATACTGATAATATTGTGTCATTCCCATCCATTTCTATCACATAAGCATAAATTTCATGTTAATTTATCAATCTTATGCAATTCTTTTTCAGTACCAATTTTTAGAACGATCTCGAGGGGGCACTTGTAGCAATACTTGGCCACCTAATCTTCAACTTAATTTAACGTATTCTGCATCTGCGTGTAAAATGGCTTGCAAAGCAAAATACTTTATCTCAAACTGCGGTTGCATTCCACTTCATTATGATACTTTTAAAGGTAATCTTCTCTTCTCACATTCCATATACAACCAGAATCTTACAATTGGCTTTTAGATAACTTTCTATCGTTGATAAAGCATAAAAATAAGGAAAAACTGAAAAATAAAGTAAAAATCGGATGAAAAAATTTTTAAACAGTATAAAAAGAAGCATTTTGGTCACACCGTTAATATCGTAACTTTGAACTTCAATTGAGTTGCATTTTAGAAGGTAAACTTTGTTCTCCGAAAGAGGTTGTTGAATGTGTGAAAAACTTTCCAGACATTGCGAGTAAGTGATTTTTTGGAAGTTATAATCGTTCGATAAATATTTTGCTATAATAAATTAATCATATTGGTGGTGAAAATCTTTTCCTTTTATATTTCTTTGCTAATGTAATGTCTGTCCTGTAATTAATCAAAGTTTTAGTCAACAAAGCAAATTTGACTTGCAGGCGTTGTGAGTAACTTCAATGATTTACCTTTGTGTCAGAACTGTGCATCAGAATGTGAACTTTTTATCTATTATACACAAAATTCAATTATCCACAACATTCTTACTTCTTTGGGTGAATATATGAGGAATATGAAGAAGCAATATAGACTGAGTTATGTCAGGTAGCAAAAACTTCATTTTCTTCTGTACTCATTCTTTTTTTTTTTCATTTTTCCACTTCAATAGTGTCTTTTAATTCATTTATTTCACCTGATCAAATTTTAGTCATTTGATGTAATGAAAATGAAGTAAGTTGACTGGTATTAATTATATCGAAGGCTGTGACAAATGGCAAGATATTGCTATGTAAAGCAGCATTTGCAGAATAAAATGATGATATGTGGTTTGGTTAAGGGATAATCTGGCAACAGTGCACATATTTTTTGCGGCCAAAAAATATAAGATGTACTCGCAATCGACACTTTCCGATTTATCTGATTATTTTAGTGAGTTGCATACGGCTTCTAAATTAATATATTAATGACTATTTTTAATCACTATGCAGTCTATTTCAAAAAAATACTGAAAGACGGGACTTGATTCATAATTGTAGTTATACAAAATCGATGATTAATGATGTTAAGTAAGACGAGGTCATTAGCTGATAAAAAATAAATAAAGATATCACAACAAATCATCAAAATCAAATTTTTTTCAACATTAAACGACAATAATGTATGGTCTTTTTTAATCGTAATTTTAAAAATACAAAAATTTATAGAACGAGTAAGGGATTTTTTAAAAGTTATAATATTCAACTGAAAAAAAAAAGTTGATATTTTATCAACTTTACTGATAATGTCATGATTGCAGGTAAAATTGGAAGTAATATGGGCCTTTTTTATGGTGCCAGTGTCATTTCGCTATTTGAACTAGCTTTAGTCCTAATCAAAATAGTCTGGACATCTACTTTCCCTTCTCGTGCTCTTTATCTTAAAGGGAAATCAGAAAAAGAAGTGCTTTAGAATGCTTCATCCATTTAATTTTTTCACTTAATGCAAGAATATTTTTGAGAAATAATTTATTAAAAAAATAAAGAAAAATGCAATTTAGATTGAACGAAAGCTACGTATTGAAGAAATCATAAATGAATATTCAGCACCTTGCAGAGTGATAAGATCTGCTTCTGAAACATTTGACGTTTGTTATTAATCAATTAAAATAAATAAACAAGTAAATGAATTTAGCTCTAACAAAATATGGATCTATTAAGATATGCAAATTTATAAATATATAGGTATAAAAATATATTATCTTTAATTTTGTAGTTAATTTTTAGTTAATTGGCAATTTTTCTTGCTTCCATTGACATTTCTTCCAGCTTCCAGATAATTGTCTTTATTTTTTGATAAGCTTACTTTTCTACAAAATAAGTGATAGATTGCTGCATTTATATATAGTCATTTAGTCATTTAAATAATTAAGGCAAACGATTGCATGATGTCAAGTGAAAAAATTAGCATTGAAACAGGCGTTGTTCCATGGTTGAAAAGAAAACTATCTCCATCGTTTTCTGCTTCATTTCCAGTCTCTTTTATAATTTATAATATTCTCAATTTTTAAAGCTTTAATCTGAAATCATTTTACTACTTAAAAAAGAAGAAAAGCATTACTGTTATAATTATATTTGTAAAAATGCTTGATATAAAACTTATTTTTTATTACTGAAATTTTGCTTCATTTTTAGCCCCCGCAACGAAAAATTGGTCAAGTGCTATCGCTGACACTAACACCTGAGCAAGCTAGTGCAATTTTGGAAGCAGAGACTTTTGTTGATTCAATATACGTTCCATTAAGAAAAGATAAAGTGAATATTCATGATTTTAATATCTAAAGTTCAATTTTATTAATTCTTATAGAATCTGAGTTTTGTTATAAATTAATAAACACGTAATGTAAATTCATTGCTCACTCAATCCTATAAGAATTACTAAAAAGCACTCTGTTAAAATTTGTATTTTCAGCTACTAGTTCCAGAAGATGTCGATGACGAACAATGCACTTTTGTTTAATTTTATGTTCTTTTCTTAAATATATTAAATTGTACAACCCACAGATTATTTAATTTCGAATTTTGAATTCTGAATATTAAATATGAATATGTATATTATAATATATCCAAGCATTTTTTTGCATAAATTTGGAAGAATTTTTCAACTTCTGTGCTAAAATGAAAATTTATATTTTTAGATGGTAATTTTGAGTATTGTTGATAACGTTGAAGGCAAATTTTGACGTTTAATTGCACTGCTGTAAGTGAATGATCGGATGTAAATTAGCAGCATTTTCAAGTAAAACAATATAGATGCTGGCAATAACCAAATTATAAGTTTTTCAAGTAAATTATTAAAGTGTGAATTTTGAGAACACGAAGTTCACTTCTGTATAAGTATTGATTGACAATAATTACTTATTTTTGTGAATAAAACTGTAAATAAAAGTAAATGCTTATTTTTTAAATTACTTTTCTACACATAGGAAACAGATTACTTCATAAATTGTGCAGCAATGGGATTTCTTAGAAATATGTAATGAATATCACTTGCAATTACTGAACTACAAAAATTATCTCACTTTTTATTCTCACATGAATCTTCTAATTCAACAGTGCAAAAAATTTAAAGTTTTTCTAGTGTATCGCTTGATCGAAATTCTAAAAAGTTCGCTCTGACTATAATTATACATAGAATTTGTGAGTATATTTTAATATTAGTAAAGCATTTAGATTGTTCTACAAAGTGAGTTTGTTAAGCAATCTAAAAGCTAAAGACCTGTTAGTTGATGTTCGAAAAAGTGTAGTAAGACCCACAAAGTTTTGTTTGAATTAATATTATGATCCAGCATTTTATTATGATTGACTTTATAATGAAAATACATTAGCATAAAGCGTAAATTGCAGCATCGTTGGTTACAATTTAGACTAACTTTTTGCTAACACATTTCTTTTCTTACCAATATATATATGGTCAAAAAATTGCATAAGTATTCACTACCAGAAGTATTGTATTTTCACTTTCTTTGAGAATCATTAAATTAAGAGAACAACACAAGATCACTTTGGAGCATTTGAAAATTAAAGTAGTCATAGAAAGATCAAAAATTTTACAATCATAAGTTTTGCTCGGTTAAGGAAACAGAGTTTTGAAATTGCACAGATCTACTCCTTCTATCAACTTGAAGCCATCTCGACATCATCAAGATGTTTCTGTGAGCCAATCTGGTATTTTGCAAAAGTAATTTGATCTGGCGTAAATCGTGCTTTCGACCAGCTCTTCTTCAATACGGACCTTCTATGGTAAATATTTTTCATGTTGGTGCTGCTTTGTCTGATTTTTAATTTTGTTTTCTTACAAAAACTTCTTTTTCGTATATTCATCCTTTGATCCTCAATTCCTGAAAACTCCATTTTACTTGATGCTGTTTCAAATTCCGAAAGCAAACTCATGAAAGATAAATTTGTAATATTCGAGAAATTTGGGTCATCAAATTTCGATATTTTGTATACAGCTGTCTTTTCTTCCATTTCAGATGAATCTGAAAGTAGAGCATATCAATTCAATTATTGAAAATTATGCACTATTCTCATACAAAAAAATAACAAAACTGAGAAACAATCGCAGAAAAAAACAGAACAAGGAATGAAACTGCATTTATAATTATTGTACTAACTAATGGGATTGATAGTTCCCAAAGTAGAACAAAAGTGACGATGGATTCTCCCATATATTTGTTTAAAACAGAAATGTACACCATAAAGAATAATCTGAATGAAAGTAATTATTGAAAGGCCGAGAAAAAAACCGAATTGACCACCGATTTTGGACATAAAGCCAGAAAAACTTGTTGTTCGAACTTCCTTCACGTGTTCATACTGAAAAATTTACTCATTTTATTTTGCTACCAAAATAATAAAGAACGAGTGAAAAAAGACAACAATAGCAAGTAATAGCATTTAACAATTTTGACTAACTTGTAAATCCATGAATGAAACTTCTAGATTGAATTCGAAATTTTGAAATGGCTTCAATGTTTTAGATTGCTGTAGGATTGCTCGATATTCCCAACGATGGCAACCTGGTAAACACTGAAAAATTAGTCTCACAAAATATAAAATTTATAAAAACTCTTGTAGACTTTTAATGATTTATTGAGAGGACTACTAGTTTAGAAAAATTGAAAGGTATGATAATTGTTCACCAACTTCATAATTAAAGCTATTATTCAAAAATTTTAAATTTTGATTTGCTTTGTTTTCTACATTTTATTTATTAGGTTGAAGAAAATATTGTATAATCATAAAATTCCAAATATGGAAACAGATAAGTTAGGCGTAAAATCAGTAATTTGAAGCATTTTTTATTTTCACTTCTAAAGATTCTTTCTTCTTCTAAGATTCTAAGATTAGCTTTTTTTACCTGCTCTTGAGGAAGAAATTCCGACCAAAGCATTTCAATTGCTTGCTGGTAATTCATTGCAATTGTCAACGGATCACATATCTACGAGGTCTAGCATCATTAAACAAAATTATTACTTAAGCAGCAATTTTTTGGGGTTTCTTGCAGCTTTTTCAGCTTAATTGTAACCAGTTTGAGAATATTTTACTAGTAATCACTGTTGTTTACTTTTTACAGAAACTGTAATCTATATTAAGTTATAGTTGCATCAACAAACTCTGATGATTATCAAACATTTAGTCTTGAGTACAGTCTACTTTCCAGAATATTCTTATATAACTATGAATGATATTAACTCTTATCATATCATTTGTACAGCACTGTAATGCCAAACAAAATATTATACAAAAAAAATCAACCAGAATATAAATAATAATAATTTATTTGCCAACCTTTACATCAGGTATTTTAGACACTTTGATTGAAAATAAAGTGCAGTTATATCGTTGTATGATATTGGATATTAACCACCGCCTAATGTAGCATTCATAATCTTTCCAATTTATCTGCATAATTTATTGCTTCAAAAAGTAAAAGTTTCACTCAAAAATATTAATTAAACAAACAAATTTAAGCATTTTTTAGTAATAATATTGACCTCATTGGTGCAGACATCTTTTTGTTCCAAAAGCTCTACCAATCGTGCTGAAAGTTTCACTTTATTCCACTGATTTCCCAAAATGTGAAAATTAGGAAAATCAGCAATATCTTGATGCTGGTCATGTACATACACAATCAACAGAGGCTGAAAAGGAAAAGACTTATTCATAATCATAAATGATGGATTTGAATAATTAGAATTGTAATACTTATTATAATTCATATCAAAAAATAATAATTCGAAAAAATCTCAATTTTCTCAATTATTTTAAAACAAAAAGAATTTGTACTTGTGAGAATTCATACAAATCGGAGGTAGCACTTGCAATAGATTTCATATTTAAGATTAGACGTCCAATTTCACCTATGTCTGTCTGAAATCACTGAATTGATTATTCTTTATTAATCAGTGGATTATTTATTTGTTTTTTCGATCTAATTTTCCAGTTAGGAGAAGTCTACAATGGGAATGAAACAAACTTGGTTAATGCTTTTTGACTGGTAACATATTCCACGTCTCATCACAGTTTTACTAACAAACAGAGCAGTGCAGCAGTCTTGAACGTGGCCACTAAGTTCACAATGATAAAAAAAATCTGTGCATTTTAAACCATGTTTATCCTTAAAAGCTAAATATATTACTATTTATCATTACATAATGTATCTTTTCAGCAAAATTTATAATATTAAAGAACAGAAAATGAAATTAAAAATATTTATTAGAAAGAAGCCACAACCTGAATCATAGCAAAAAATTGTTCAAGAGTGGTTCCATGCATCCAAATTTTTAAATATTTATTTAAAGTGTACAGATAAGTCTTATTGAATCTTGAAACTTTATTCATGTTTGCAAAGCCCATTCCAGCAATCCAAAAGCGAAGCAAATCTAAACTTTCATCAATACTCAATTTTGGAATTGCTGTTCTGATATAGTTCACCAGTGATTTAGTGTGAAATGCATCTGGGATTTTTGGGCAAATTGTTATTGCTGGAAACTCCATTGAATCAACCTAAATGACTAATTTAACATACGGAACAGCATCTGAAGATTCACTATGAAACAACCATTTGAAATAAAAGGTATCTGAATTAGATTTAGTTTTGAATTGAAAAAATTTAGTTTTATAATGAATAACAAACAAGACGAATTGTTATGGAAGTAGCAGTTGGTCCTTCAATGTACTCTATTATTACAAGAATTGTTGTAACCGTACCACATGAAATACATATCACCATGACAAAAATCCAAAATAATCTCATTTTGAAACTTTGTTCTGCAAGAGCCTAAAAATGCTGTTAAAATAGAAGCTCAAAATTTTTTATTTAACTAGTTTTTCATAATAATAATAATAATAATAATTTATTCTAAAGTTTTGTCGATTACTAATGTTTTACCTGGCTCAATCCATGAATTTCAGTAGTAAAGGGTGGATAATGATTTTCATGACATCTACATCTTTTCTTTTTAGGTGAAGAAAATAATGATTGAGCTTTAACACTCTCATCCACTTTAGTCATTTCTACATTAAAAGAATGAGTAATAACTTCCTGTTTGCTGATTAAAAGCAATTCTTAACTTTGATTTCTGTTTGTTTGCATAAATTTCATGAGTTGGCTTGTTAGCATACACAATCTTTTATTTGCCATTCTATCCTAATTTAGCAAATTTCAGATATATGCAAGAATTATTAAGTAATACTCTTCAAATATATAACATTATAGTCAGAGTATCATTTTAATGCTATTTGCAAAAGTTTTATTGAATTCAACAACAACAAAATTTGCTTTGCAAAGATAATAATTCTCGGTACATTTTCACAGTCCGTCAAATTACTGTAAACTAACTTATTAGTTCGAACAATTCAAAATACATTCTTATGCGCAGATTAGTAAAATATTTGCTGCATAAATAATCATCTTAAAAAATTATTTCTTTATGACAAATTAAATTCTTAGAAATAGTATGATGTATACGTTTTGTTACATTTAAATCAGATTCAGAATGACGATTATTGGAATCATTAATTGCCTCTCTTTCTTTATAGGTACTGTTCAGGTCTTGAGAGATCATTATGTTGTATATTCATAATGTAAGCAAAGACAAAAAAAATACAGATTTTGGAACGATTTTTAGACAGCTTCAATGTGTTGTTGAAAAGAAAAAATTATTTTATATTAGCACCTCTTACTGTCATTTCAAAAATATTATTGTTTTTGGCTATACGCAAGTTATTGATGATTCAGTTTGCTTATTTCTGCTTCTAAATCAGAATAAGAAAACTAAATTGCTTTTAACATTTAAAAATTCAGCAAGAAATTGATACTTCGAACAAAATATCTTCATTTGGCTTTATAATCAAATTTGCAAGACATATGAGAAGATTTTATTATTTTCAAGCATAAACTTATCAAGTTTCTTAGCTTTCGAAATAAATGATTTGCATCTGAATATAATATTTAAGATGCAATACGGCCTTTCATTAACAGATAATATTGTGTTTCAAATATTCTTTAAATAGAAATAAAAAACATTTCTTTTGCCATAAAAATAGTAAGTGATCATAAATGCTGCCCAGTTTTTAGCTATAATCATTACATCACTACATTTCTTAAATAAATTGTATTTTTGAGAAAAAATATAATTTTATCAGTTAGCATAAATTTTATTCGGAAAACGCAAAATATCCACCAACATAAAAATAAAAATCATCCCGTAAATTTCATTCTTATCAGTAATAAAAAAATTATCAGTTATTTCAAATTTTGTTTTGAGATGATAATTTATTTTGTAATCTTTACAAATTTATTTCATTAAAAATGACATTCAAGAAGAATAACATAATCAAAATGATACTTATATCAATTCTTGACAGCTTTAGTAGCGTAATTTTAAATTGCTAAATTTTGTGAATTGTTTGTAAGTTAATATTTTCGTTTATTTTTTTGCTTTTGAAAGTTATTTTTCTTGTAATTGTAAAGGAAGCAAAAAAAGTTTGTGTACAATTGACAAAATACTCTTTTAAATGATTTACAAATAGTTTCGAATGCATTCATGTATTTACGAATCTTTTGTTTCTTGAGAGACAAATTTTTTCAAAGAAAGCAAAAAAATTGTGGTAGAATACAAAAATTAATCAAACGAAGAAAATTTTTTAAAAAGCATAAAGCAGTTGTTTCTACGTGGTGTTTACATTACAAAGCATTTTTTATCTTGTTACGAATTTGAATAAGACTGATAAAACTTTAGCCTTCAAACTTTTTATTCTTTTATTTTATTACACATAGTTATAAAAATTGGATAATTCATAATTAATTTTTGATTAATTATACTTATGTGCTTTTAATAACTGAAATAAATTCGTAGTGCAGATTAAAAGGATTTAACTGTCAATAATTCTCTCACATAAAAATTATCTATAAGCATACTTTGCTTCAATAACAAATATAATGATTATTAAGTAAGTATCAATTTTGTAAACTTCTGTAAAGGATTATCAATAGTTGATAAACAAAAAAAAAATCAGACAATCAAATGTTATTGAAAATTAATCTTTATCATTGTTATCTTTAATACAGTTATTATTGTTATTGACAGTTTAATTCTTTCATCAATTTTCATTGGTTAAGTTTACTCAGTTATTACTCACTTTTAAGTTCTAACTTGGATATCACAACATTGGCAAGCTGTGCTTGACTGAATTATTTTTGCAAAGTGCATTCACGATATTACTACTAATATCTTTATAGTTTATCAATGCAGTCATTTTATTTCAATTTATTTACCAAAAATAATAATATTTATTGTAATTAGTTTGTTAAAACTGGATAAGCTTTCTATCTTCATATACTTGCGATAAGCTGTTCATTCATTAGACAACATTTATTGATTTAGTAATATTCATAAATGCTGCCAAATGTTTTAAGATTCTATAAATACTTATAAACAGTAGAAGTCGAGCAGATATAAGTTTTTAGCTGATTAATTTGAGCAAATTTTATATTTGTAACGAAAATAAATCATTTTTTACACCGTTGTCATGGCCAAGAATATTGAAAGAAAAAGCAGTAGCAGCAAACAAAAAAGTGTGAATTGTAACTAAACTTAAGAAAGCGGAAAGCTTTTTGCAGATATAAACACATACAATACATTTTTGTGAACAGTTGCTATTCTGGTTTGAAAAAGCAATTATTTATTTCTATTTTTACTGCTGCTGAAACTGCTAGTTGATTGAAGATTAGAAAAAATAATGATATTGAATGATGTTTATGTTCTTAGTCTTAAGTTATATTATGAATACCATTGTTTAATCATAATAAAAGTAGATATTGGGAAGATTAGTTAATACTGATTTAATCATTTTATTATTATTTGCAAAACTTTTACCTTTTTATTTGAATGTTTAGAATAGTACAAAATGATTAAGCTAGAAATTGAAAAGTTTTTCATTGTCATGTTTTAAAAATTTGTTTAAAATAATGAATATCACAGTTTATACTTTGAAATTTGAGCAAACAATGTGTATTCATCATTTCTCAATTTTAGATACATTTGCTAAACTTTAAAATAACTTGTCATTATAAATGTTGATTGAAAATTGCAGTGATTTTATAAATTAATTGATACAAACTCTTGGATATGGAGCCATGTATCAGTAATACTATCACCAATTAGTGTAAAATATTAGCTGATTTGAATTATTGAATCGTTAATCAAGTAGTAAAATGCTCAGAAACAATTTTTCAGTTAAAACAATCAAAACTTGGCAAAAACAGCAACAATTTTTTATCCAATTTTAGCATTATTAAAAAATTTTTTAAATCATGCTTGTATATTTGTCAAGCAAAGTAAGAAGAATAAAGCAAAATTTTTTCAGTACAAATTACATATTGACTGTAATAAGAATATTAGCACTAAAGGTGAGATAATGCATAATGCATGACTAAAATGTTTTGGGATTTTAATGCCTAAATTTTAGCAATTTCTTGCTTTTTTGATTAAATTTTTTTGTTATTTAAAGCAGCACATTGAAATCTTGCAAATATGATTCACTCGACTGAATAAGAAGACGATAAATGTAGTATGGATATACTGCTGGCGTTGTTAGCGAATTTCAGATTAAATTACAAGACACTGAATATCAATGTTAATTACTTGTTTAGCTCATTTTATATTTCTGCAATTTCAAAAACAAAAGTTTGGCAATGAAGAATAATGCATCTCAACAATATTCATTTTTAAACTTCCTGGAATACTTGTTGATGAGAAATTTTTTTCTGATAGGCAAGTCAGGAAGTCAATTTTTTATGTTTTATCTCTTTTGCTAACATAGATTACAGCAGCATCCAGACATAAACATTTTAATTTTCAAGTGTAAGGTTGTGTCTAGCAAGCATTTAAATTTGGACTTGAGTGATCATTTGTGCATTAGTATCTCATGATTAAATACAGATGAGGTGATTATCTCGAAATTTTTTATAGATTTATTATTTTACTTAATTTGATGCTAATACAGATTTGATTCTAAAATAAATTGATTCTTATCTATAATTTTTTAAATTTGTTCCAGTTAACATGAGCAAATTATGAATGATCCTTTCTATCGTATGTCGCATATAAAGATTCATCTAATTATTTTTTTTATATTGCTTATTATACATTTTTACAATAACGCTGTGACATACACTTCTTAAACTGCTATCAAATATTGATGCATAAATTTGAATTAATTAGATTTCTCACACTTTTTCGAGCATTAAAGATTTGTTTAGAGTTGTGGTTTAATATTTAATAGGATAGTTTGCAATACTTTTATTACTCTTATTACCATACAGAAATATTTTATTTTATCATTTGTTTGTTGAACAGTTTGTTATTTGATGCAACTGAATTAATATTAAGACATGAATATGCAAATATCTGTGGTAATGTTAGTTAAACTAGAAGTAATGAGTCAGATTTATTTCATTAATTATCAATTTTAATGACAAAATAGCATAAGTTAAACTTTTATTTTTAAACTTTGTTATTTTTTGCTCACTACTGCCAAACTTTTGCAATTAAAGACGATAAAAATAAAATTTTACCAAGGAAACAGTAATATAAATGTCAAAATCATTTAAAGTTATTATTTTTTTTAGAAATAATAAAAGTAAGAAAATGTTCTCAAAAGTACAAAAACTAAGCTTCTCAAGTTGTTTTCCATGATTTTTAATAATTTTAAAACAATTGATCAGTTTCAATATTATGTCATGAAAAATAAGCACATTTGCTACAAAGTTTTTTTCTATTTCTGATTATAATTAGGCG